GATGCGAACCAGCACACAAAGAGCCTGTACGGCTCCAAGGAGCTAACATGAGTAATATTTAATTAAATTCCGGAGGGAGTCAATGGCAGCTCTCATCATTCCCGACGTCTGGGAGCCGAGGAAAGAAGTCCCTTCTGACCGATAACACTTATTTCTCACGGTCGCGAAGTCACTAGAGGTCTTGCTACTCTCGTACTTTACGTACCCCACCTGCATCAGCATGGTTTCTAAAAGGTGCCCAGCACTACCACAGCAATTACCACTCAGATAACTCGTGGCTTTAACCGTAAGCATTCCTGTGCGAAAACAGTCCTAGTACAGTTGGATTTGTCAAAGGCGTTGGATTTGTCACAGGCGTTTGACACCGTCTGTCATTCCACGCTACTAAGGCTTTGTGGTTTCCTCTCCCACAGGGACTCAAACGGTGGTCGGCGAATTATATGAGTGGTCGGCAGTCATCAGTAACCTTTCGATATAAAACTTTTAAACTAAGGTGGGTTAAGCAAGGGGTATCACAGGGTAGTGTCCTCTCCCCGCTATTTCTTAACTTCTATATCTCGAGGCTTGCTCAGCCACCGGAGCGAGTTTTCCTGATCCCCCATAGGCTGTTAGATATTGGCATACTGGAAAGGAATTGAGACCGCTGCCCGGCTATCTCTCTGACATTTATCGCTTCTTCGCTGCAAGCAGCCTCTCTCGATGAACGAAGGTGGTCAGGCTTCAACTAGACATTCACCTCGATAGCACACCAATTCCGACGGTAAATAACCGGAAAATATTGTTACCGTTTGGGGGTTAAACTACGTGTTAGTCAGTGGCGGACCCACGAGGGGTGTTTTAATATGGCGCATATGTATGTATAATATGGCGTCTATGTATTAAAATACCCCCCGCTGGACCCGCCACTGACGAGGAGGTTGTGTATGTTATCAAATACAAGCAATGCGCCTTTAGCTTCGTCTTATTTTAATCTTCAGTTCTGCTTTCACTCCGTTTTTGACCTTAGAGCCTCAGGCGCTTTTCTCGCGTAGGCGTCTGTCCTAGTTTGTCGGAACGCAGTTGTCTGGTGGGCTTAGAGAGATTGAAGAAATTCTACCTATACTTAATATGCTTGATCGCGGCTTGACTTTTTCCAACGAAGCGGAGTTTTGATGGTTGATTTCCCAGAATGAATGACCGTTGATTAAATAGATGCTGCTAAGAAAAAGAAGGTAAAATAATTAGATGGAAATATATTTTTCGAGAAAGCAATTGAACCAAATACTACAAATGCATTAATCGCTTTTCAATGAAGGTCAGTTTTGTGATATCGCTGCTGGACTTTCTGTGTGTACGCACCAGGGTTTTTGCGAGTATTCGCATTCGCATTCGCAACCGCGGAGCTTCCGTATTAATTTTAACATTCGCATTCGCTTTCGCATTCGCAAAAATCAATGCGGATATTTTGCAAATGCGAATATTGAAGGGACCGAAAATTACAGTTATTTTTTTTTGTGAGTTAAACTTGCCTAAATATTTTGTATTCCGAAATAAATGTACTTTCCGGATAATAAACAAACCGCTTATCCAAATTAAACAAGTTTGGTATGACATGAAAGAGGACTGAAGTAGCTTTAAAACTGAAATATCTAAACGAGGAAAGCCACACATTGAAAAATATTTCAAGAAAAAATGTTAATTAATTACCATAGAACAAACATTGGGATATGTATGTATTTACATGAATTTCTTTAGTATTAAGTTATAAAAAAATATAAATTCGCTTTTTCTGTTTAAAAGCTTTGTCAGTCCTCTTTCATATGATACCAAATTTGTTTAATTTGGATAAGCGGTTTGTTTATTATCCGGATAGACCGTTTTTTTCGGAATAAAAAATATTAGGCCAAATTTAACTCGGAAAAATAACTGTTATTTTCGGTCCCTGGAATATTGTGCAAGTGCACAGACGTATATCTAACCAGTCACAGAAGCAAGCATTAAAAATGAGTTACAAAAACTAAAATCGAAAAACGCTGATGACGTGACAGGTTCTCCAAATTCCGAAACAAACCAAAAGAATGATAATGAAGAATTCTTTGGAAAAAAACGTTGTTTAAACAACGATTGTGCCATGATGCTAGATTATGAAAATGAAAGTCAGGAGGATACATCCGACATTTGCACCCCCAATGAAATTCTCAAAAAGTAATTATTGCACCGCAATAAAGATAAGTGAAAGTCCTGTCAACTGGTGCAGTGTCAATCAAAAAGAATTTACAATTTTGCCAAGTTTCAAGTTTCTCAAGTTTGTCGCCTCGAGCGAGTATTTATATAGAGGCGCAATTTTTATTTGCCTAAATCACCTAATTTACCCATCTAAATTATTTCTTAAAAATACACGACATCCGCATTCGCATCCGCATCCGCGGATGTTAGCTTTTAAACATCCGCATTCGCATTCGCGGATGTCTAAAATTCCACATTTGCAACATCCCTAGTACGCACCCTAAGTCTGCGGTTTCGGTAAGAGCGACAAGGCTTACAATGTAAATTTCATCCAAACAAATAAACTAGCTAGACTTTTTGCTCCAAGGGAACTGAAAAGGACTACACATTAAGTGAATATTGAGATTTACTCATCCTCACACCCTACTCAGTTCGCTGAAGTCAAAGAAAAATCGACGGGTTCGGCACTAAATATCTGTAAAATATTTATAATCGCAAGCGCTTTCGACACTAAAGAGATTGCTCTTCTTGGATAACCTTCGATTGGCCCAAACAAGAAGGTTATCACGCCTCCTTACCACGAGTTCAATGAAAGTTTGGAATCCCTTTTAGGCCCGACACTTTGTCATATTTGAGTTCAAGCAGCTACATACGGGGGATCTCTGGGCAACCCTTTTCGTGGCGAGAATATCTGTCACTTCCATAATTCCACTATGTGCCGGCAGCCAAACGAGGCAAACCGAGTTCCTGAAAGCGCCAGTTTTGAAGTAATCTTTCGTGCTTTCGAGGATCCCCCCCTGTCAAAAAGTATTTAGACGTGATTTTGGTCGACCAACTTTCTGCCTCTCAGGGTGCGTACACAAGTGCATTCCGAGCATAGTTCAGGACTATTTCAAGACTATTTAGAGTCTATTTTATGACCATTTGAGA